TTACAAATCTATTAAACAGAACATCTGAAAATAGTCAGATCTAGAGACAAACATTCATCAACCACGTGGGGAACTTGTATCTCAATTTTATCCAGTATAGAGGCTAATGTCCAGTATACCTTTTTATCCTATCTTAAATATCAGACAAACATTGTCTGTACAACTTAATTTATGAAGATAACTGTCACAAAATATTACACCGTGAAAAGCAAAATACTCAAAGATTTCAGTTAAGCTGAACGCACAGAAATAGATACATTTTCGTAATTATTTTATAAAAACTAAATATATTAACAACATATTAGTAGCTTTTGGTGATAAAGCCAGATATTCAGGTATCTATTATAAATTTACTGAAACATAAGGGGTAAAGTTTTTTCTTAGTTTGGTTTTCAATCTTTTTAAATGTACTAGTTCCTCTCCCTGCCTTAGTAAAGACTCAAGATACAGTAACCTGTGACAGTAACTGAATACTTACTTTATGGCACCTGAAAGCAATGATCATGGTTTTGTTTTGTTTTATTCCTCACTGAGTTTCTTGGTACATTTTAGGTATACAGTACAGTTACATTCATCACTGGGATCTTGTACCTTTACATGACAGGTCTTGGTTCTCACTTTTTCTCCTTGGCCATGCCCTCCCTTGAACCCCTCCTCCCCTCCCCACTTACAAACACTTTATTTCCATTTTTTTCATTTTCTCATATTTTTTTCTTTTCCCTTATTTCCTTTCCCCTACCCTTCCCATTTCTCCTACACCTTTAGCCCTTTTCTTCCTATTTCACATTGTCAATTATACCATTAGGATCTTATGTATAATTATAGTTTTTCACACCAGAGAAACTACTCAGTATTTACACATATGTGACTTATTTATTTCACTTAAGAGTATATCCTCAATATGTATCCATTTTCCTATGAATGACTCTAATTTCTCATTCTTTATGGCTGAGTAGTATTCCTTTCTATAGAAAAACCACATCCTCTTATCCAGTCTCCAATTGATGGGCAAATGGGCTATTTCCAAGTTTTAGCTATTAGAAAATGTGCCACTACATACATGGGTGCACATATATCACTGTATGTGGTATCTGGGTCAAATGGAACCTTTAATCCTAGTTCTTTGAGGTATCTCCATATTGATTTCCATAGTGGTTGCACCAGTCTGCACTCCCACCAACAATGGAGAAGGGTTCCTTTCTCCCCACAATCCCGTCAACATTTGTAATTGTGTGATTTCTTGATAGCAGCCATTCTTTATGGGGTGAGGTGGAATCTCAGTGTTGTTTTCATCTGCATCTCTCAAATGACCAGTGATGTGGAACATTTTTTCATATATTTACTTGCTGCTTTTACTTCTTTGTCTGAGAAATGGCTGCTCATTTCAGATGCCCATTTTTGAATCAGGTCTTTATATTTGGGGGGGCTGATTTTTTTTTTCAGTTCTTTATATATTCTAGATAATAGGCCTTTGTCTGAGAAGCAGCTGGTAAAAATTTTTTCCCACATTGTCTCTAAGTTCTGTTGATGGTTTCTTTTCAGTGCAGAAGCTTTTTAATAAGATGAGATCACACTTGTTATTTGTGCTAGTTCCCGTGCTACTGAAGATTTCTTCATAAAGTCTTTTCCTATGCCAATGTCTTCAAGAGTTCTACCTAACTTATCTTCCATGCAATTAGGAACGAAAAAGATGAAGTCACAACAGATCCAGCAAAAATCCAGAGGATCGTCAATACCTACTTTGAGAACCTGTACTATAATAAGATGGAAAACACAGAAGAAACAGACAGATTTCTAGATACTTATGAATTACCAAAGTTGAACAAAGAAGATAAAAAAAATTCTAAACACACCAATTACAATCAGTGAAATTGAAAATGTAATTAAAAGTTTACCAATGAAGAAAAGCCCAGGTCCTAATAGATGCACTGCTGAATTTTACAAGACATTTAGAGAAGAACTACTGCCATTACTCTTCAAATTTGTCAATGAAATTGAAAGGGAAGCAATACTTCCAAATTCATTCCTGGAAGCAAGTGTTACTTTGATTCCAAAACCAGGGAAAGGCCCAACTAAAAAAGGTCAATCTCCTTAATGAATATAGATGCAAAAATCCTCAATAAGATACTGGCAAACAGAATACAGAGGGTCATCAAGAAGATCATACACCTTGATCAATTCAGATTTATTCCAGGGATGCAAGGATGGTTCAACATACGAAAATCAAAAAATGTAATACACTATATTTGTGAAACAGAGTCAAGGACAAAAACCACATGATCCTCTCAACAGATGCAGAAAAAGCATTTGACAAAATTCAACACCCATTCATAATAAAAATTCTGCAAAAAATTGGAATAGATGGTCTATATCTCAATTTAATAAAGGCTATCTATGAAAAACCAACAGCCAACATCATATTAAATGGCCAAAAACTGAAAACCTTCACATTAAAATCTGGAACAAGACAAGGATGCCCACTATTACCACTCCTCTTCAATATAGTTCTGAAAACATGAGCCACAGCAATTAGACAAGAGAAAGAAATTAAATTAATGATCATTGTTTAGTGATATGGATAAGCTGTAGAAAAAAATAACAAATTAGGCCAAGTATGCACTCACCTATGTATCCTATGGACGTTTCTTTGGAAAATGTAAGTATAAGCTTTATCACTAACCCTTATCTATGAAAAGTGGAATGCAGAGAAAGTGGCAGCTATTTAAAATTCTTTAGTCATATTCAGATTATGCATTCATTGATTCAAGAAACCCTTGCTAAATCCCTACCATCTGGTCTGCACCATTGGTGGAAGTGGGAATAGAACAAGAGCCTACAGGGAAATGAAAGAGATAAAGGAAAGAGAAAAATGCAAAATATGGACCAAAACACCCAACCCATTCTCCTGGGATTAAGAAGTAATGCTTCCCAAGCTGATCTCTGAAGGGAAATGAAAAAGAAAACAGAAGTGGCAGGAGAACCATGCTCTGCTCTAAGCGATGGGAAAACATGTGAGGGCTTGGTAATGAGAGAAAGCAGAGAAAATTCACAACATGCAAGTATGATTTTTGCCTTTGTGGATACACTGTCTATGGTTTTAACCTTAAGCTGTCTTTGGGCCGGGGATTTAGATCAGTGGTTCCACCGCCTGCCTCACAAGCGCAAGGTCCCAATTTCGATCCCCGGTACCAAAAAAATAAAAATAAATGAACCTTAAGCTGTCTTTGAAAATAAGCAATTTAGGTACTTGGCTTCTAGGAGTTTCTTATCCCACTTCATTGACAATTCCTTTTCAATTTCCTTCCTTCTCTGTATTGTAGTTATCACCCAAACATTTAGTCATTGGAGTGCACTGGGCTCAACCCAATGGAGTCTCTATGCTCTGTCAGTACTCACTCCCAAATGATCTCATCCAACCTTCATGTTTACTTCTAACTATAAAATCTCCACTCTCCTATGAACACTTGACTCTTAATTCCAATCCTTTTTTCTACTTCTCCACTTGAATAGGCAACTCAAGCAAGATGAGTCCAAAGCCTGACTCTTGATATATAACCCACAAAATCTACTTTCCAGTGTTTCTTATCTCAAGAAATAATAATTCTATTATTCGAACTGCTTGGGCAAAACTGAAAGCAGCATCTTTCATCTCTCTTTCAGTGATGCTCATCTGTAAACCTTCTGCAAATCCTATTCATAATTGTGCATCTGCTTTCCCCTTTGTCCTCTATACTGTAGAGTCTATAGTCCATTCTCTACACAGTGGCTAGAGAGATCCCTTAAAAATGTCAGATTGTATCATTGCTCTGTTTACCACCCCCCATTAGCTTACAATCACACTTAGAGTAAAAGGTTTTTGTGATCTTGACAATCTACATCTCTCTGATTTTCTTCCCATCACCTTGCTCACTCTGCTTCAGCCACTGGCATTGCTGGTCCTCAAACATGCCCAGAACACTCTTAATGCAGGTCCTTTGTACTTACTGTTCAACCTTCTGAAACCCTCTTTTCCAATACCTATATGGCTCATTCCTCTACTTCATTCAAGTCTCCATTCAAATTTCACCTTCACAATGCAGCCACCTCTCAACTTACAATACAAAATAGTTCCTCTTTGCCCTGCTTTATTTTTTTCTCTAACCCTTATCTCTTCTATACCCAATGACCATAACCTAGAATATAAGTTTCCCAGAGAGAATAGGTATGTTTTAGTCACTCCTGCACCAGAACCATAAAATACTGCCTGGCAGATCATTGGCAAGAAGTAGACCTTTGAAAAATGAATCAATAAAAACTAAAAATTTTATGAAATTTTCTAAAAAAACTATTGATACAATTTTCTATTTTAAGTCAAAGTCACCTTTCTATATTGCAACCTAATTAATTGTTAACTATTTTATAAAATATGTAAAAATACACCGGGGATTTAGCTCAGTGGTTCCGCTGCCTGCCTTGCAAGCACAAGGACCCGAGTTCGATCCCTGGTACAAAAATAAAATAAAATATGTAAAAATAACACTATATACTTTTTCCACCAATAAACTAAAGACAAACCCACACACCCATAAACCCATACAAGAGTCACTGGCAAAGGCTGGGAACTCAGAAGACTTTACAGCATTCTTTTCCTTCCCTTCGCTTGGCACTTACAAATATATTGAGAGGTAGGTTGAGTTTCCGTGTTATCTTAAAGCCAATCAACATTTCACCTGTAATTCATTAACAACATTATTTTGCAAATATTTATAAAACATCAATATAGAACACTGGCAAAACTATGGACAGACAATTCAAAGAAGAAATACAGCCAATGCATTTGTGAAAATGTCCATTTAGATTAACATTCCTTAATACTTAAATGTTTTACATGCTAAATGTTTGGAAATAAGGAAAGCACAGTCACATCAAGAAATCCAACACCAGCAAAAAGTTTCTTATAGAAGCAGGAAAATGCAGAAGCTGGAATTCTTACTCATGGGGCTGGATGCAGATTGAAATACCTGTGATGGAGCAATAGACGATGTGAGGCGCAATCTTGTCTACATCTTCATATCCCAGACCCACAGCAGACAGTTTTCCAGGGATATAGTTTTCCACAAATACATCACACACAGCTGCAAGCTGAAGGAAGAGGTAAAGACGAATCAGACTTCTAAAGGGACTGCAACTTTCAACAACTTTCCCACATGACAGAATTTTAATTTCAATCGACACATTCATTCTCACTTTATGGCAGTTAAGAAAAATCACAGGAGAGGTCAAGTAGATTTAGATAAACATAAAAGCCTGGGTCAATTACTTCACACATTACTGTCCGTAACATAGTGGCTACTAAATTTTACATTAAAACATGGTACAATAGCTCCTGCTTCCTTTGAATACGAGAAATTTTTAGGCTACATGGTCCATCCAAATCTGTTCTCAAAAGTATATGTAAAAAAATTAAAATATAAGTACATAAAACATCTTTTGAAACCTTTACAAAATATCTAAATTCAATGTCATCCCTTATTCCACCTTTATTATGACATTCCTCATTACAACATGCACTTAACATATATAAACTTGATTCTGAAAAGCCTCCATACTTTTATGATGTGCTCCTTCCAAAGAGTTTTAAACATCTTTAATGATTCACAGCTTTGCTTGGTCTTGTTTTTCAAACTCAACATCACGCCCACTGAACCAGTAATTATCAAAAACACACCCCAGATTTTGATTGTCAGACAGAGCAATGCCATAGAAATTAGAGGACAATAAAGTACTGGAAACCTTAAACTTAATGTTTTTCAAAATCTTAATTGTGACTAAATATCTTTCAAAATCATAACAAAAATGATTCTAGGTCACCTGGAAAATCCATTATGGTAATTTTAACAGATCCAAATGCCTAATAACTATTCAATAAATTTTTTAGGGCTAGGGATATGGCTCAGTGGTAGAGTGCTTAGGCCCAAAGTTAATCAGTCTTACAAAAAAAATAAATAATTTTATTGACATAGATTTAGAAATATTCACATGCATACAACCTAACAGAATAAGACTCTAGATCAGGAGTGGGCAAACTTTTTCTACAGGGCTCAATAAATACTTTAGGCCACATATATTTTGTCAAGTATTTTGCTTTGTTTTTTCTTTAATAATCTTTACAAATGTAAAACTCAAACCTAATCCATTGACTATACAAAAGCAAGCCCAACTTGGGTCACATAGTCTGCCAAGCTCTGCTCTAAATGAACATGGTTGAATTAATATAAGCTTTAGATATAAACATGTAAATAAACTGAGGGTCTGTTATTGTGTCACTACATGTGGAACAGATATATGGAATTGTCTGACAATAAAATTGGGGGCCAGGGTGGCTCTTAGGAAGCATATCAAGGAAAGAAACTCATCCACCAGAGCTCTCAAAACAGAGGCACTAGAGCCCAGGTGACCACCTCTCCTGACAGCATGATAAATAAATTAAGAAAAAGTACAAGGCCTGAAATTCAAACCTCAGGAACACACACACACACACACACACACACACACACACACAGACACACACACAAAGAAAGAAATAGGACAATATATTAGTTCATTACTGGTTGCTATAACAAAGTACCTGAAGCTCAGTAAAGCATAAAGGAAAAAAGAAAAGAGGTTTAGGACTGAGACTATAGCTCCGTGGTAGAGAGCTTGCCTAGCACATGCAAGACCCTGGGATTGATCCCCAGCACTGCATTATTTTAAAAAGTTTATATGTCTCACAATTTTAGAGGTTTGAGGGCATAGCACCAGGATCAGCTCTGCTCTGGTGAAGATCTAGCAGATAGGATCACAGTGGCAAAAATATAGGTGGGAGGGAATCAGGAAGCTGGAAAGTAGAGGGGAGGTCAGACTTGCTCTTTTCTTACAACTCACTGCAATGAGAACAACTGGGATCCAACAAGAACTATCCCTCCTGAGGGCTGCATCCTAATGACCTAATTACTTTACACTAGGCTCTACCTCTTAAAGGTTCCACCATCTCTCAATGTGCTCACATACTGAGGACCAGACTTCTAACACATAAATCAACTACAACAAACTCACACCATATCCAAACAATTGCAAAGATAGACAAGACGCACATGTGGGCCTCAAATCTCAAGCAATACAGGAACCCTTTCCAAACTGCGGAAGCCAACTAACAATTGAGCTACTTCTCCTATGGGCTACTCCATGCAGCATATGCCAACTTAGGTCTCATTAGAGAAGCATCAATTACTGTTAACAATTTTACCAAGCATTGCTTGTAGAACTGGAGGGTGTTAGTACTAAATAAAATACAAACCGGTTATGCTCTGATTTATTCCACAAATTTTTCTGAGGCACTATCTGCTACTTCCGGCACAAAAGAAAACAAGCTATATCTACGTTAATCAACTCTGTGCGCATCTGTTCTGTTTGGTACATGATGTAATACCTTCTTTAAGTAAATAGCTTTAAATATTTTTAATTTTAAATTCCCCATGAGAGGGCTCTCAAAACGTTAAACATGTAATTATCATAAGGCCCAGAAATGCCACTCCTAAAATATAGACAAAAGAATTGAAACCAGAGTCTCAGATACTTGTATGCAAATGTTCATAGAGCATTATTCATACTATCTAAAAAGTAGAAACAACTCAAGTGTCCATGAACCGATCTGAGTTATTCAGCTATAAACAGGAATAAAGTTTTGATATATGCTGCAACATCGCCAAACATAAAAGTACAAATATTCTGTGAGTCCACTTACATATAAAAGAGACAAATTGAGAGCCGAGTATGGTGGTGTACACTTGTAATCTCAGCACTCAGGAGGCTGAACCATGAGGATCACTGACAGCTCAAGGCCAGCCTGGGCTACATAGTGAATTCAAGGCCAGCTTGCATTATATAGAGAGACCCTGCCCCAAAAAGAAAAAAGAAAGAAAAAGATAGGCACATTCATAAAGAGAGATAGTTGATTAGAGATTACGAAGGATTAATGGAAAAGGAAATGAAGGTTTATTGCTTAATAAACGCAAAGTTTTGTTTGGGGTAATGAAAATATTTTAGAAATAAATGGTAGTGGTGGTTGTACATATTATAAATATAATTAATGCTACTGAAGTGAATACTTCCGAATAGTTAAAACAAGAATTTTATTTGCATATAGTTTACCATAATCAAAAAGTTTTGAACCATGTGAGGTATCTGTATTTTTAACTTCTATAGAATCCTAGGTCACATCTCAATTCACAAAAAGTATCCAAGTAGACCATAAATTTGATGTTTCAATGAAAAAAGAAAATAAATGTAATAAGTTATGCTAATAGAAAACTATTCCAAATATATTAAATAAGAGAATAGCAGATTTTATGCTTTTTTCAATAATTAGTTATACTAATACAGAAGTATTCAAATCATAATAAGTAAAAAAATAGATTATATGCAAATAATATATATGATATTTTCTGATATCTGGGAGGTAAATAAGAATATAAGACAGAGTTTGATGTGATGCATGAAAATATGAATCCTTCTGCCCATTGTTATAGGTAAGATCTTAAGTGTCCCCCAAACACCCATGTACTGGAAGGCTTGGAGCTCAGGAAGGCAGGCATTATTAATAAGTTGGGGAAGGACAGGGATTTAGCTCAGTGGTGCCACTGCCTGCCTTGCAAGAACAAGGTTCTAAGTTTGAGCCCAAGGACCACAAAAAAAAAAAAAGTGGTGGATACTGTAAAGGACAGGGCCAAGTGGGAGGTCTTTAGGTCATTGGAGGCATGCCCAGCAAAGCGATAGTAAACCCTAGCCCATTTCTTTTCCTTTCTTTTAGCCCCTAGCCACAAAGTGATGTGTTGCCTTACCCAAAGCAAGAGAGCCAATACATCATAGACTAAAGCCTCTAAAACTATGAGCCAAAGTAAACCTTTTCTCTTCATAAATTGATTATATCACATATTTGTTATAGTAATGAAGAGCTGATTAATACACCCATGAAGAGGTATTACTCATATAATTTATAAACTTAAGTACAGCTGTGATCAGAGAGGATGGTATAATCTGGCTGTACAGTGTTTTAAGAAAAATGTGGAATACAGATTTCCACTGATACATGTGCCCACTATTTGTTTATGATTATCCAAGAATGCATATTTCTTATTGTAATATTTATTGGTAAAATATCCCTAGAAGATGGAATATGAAAGAAATTACTCTTTTCCCTAGTTATATTTATGAAAATAAATATATATTAACCACTCATGAGATAGTGATGCTTAGTGAGTCTGCCATCCAATATAATCTTTCTCTCTTTACCAGGGTAATCACTTTCTTCAATATTATGTATGTTTCCCATAGCCTTAAGTCATTCATAAAAACTCTAAACAGAACAGCACTGAAATTCAAGCTGTCAGAATATTTCCTTGGAATGTATATATGTGTGCAAATGAGGACACTAGCTACACTGGCACCATCATTATTCACATTATCTACAAGTAGCATACAAACCAATTGCCTTGGTGGAGACCAAATATTTACTGCATTTCCTTAATGCAGAAATAAAGAGAAATAGTGAGAAAATAAAGTAAAGGAGGAAAAAATTGTTTTAATCTCTAGTAATCGCCTCTTCTTTATCGAGGTGCTCACAAATCACCTACTAATCTATTCTAGAATCTTACCTGGAATAAACAGTATAATTTTTTTGTTTTGAGTTCTAGGGCCCACCATCTTTTTCTTTTAGGAAGAAAAAAAATCTTCCATCCAGTCACATAGCAAATAAGATCTAAAATAAGCCTGAAATAGATAGTACCTAATTATGAGTTTCTTTCTAGGTATAATTTAGAAACACACTGGATCAATGAGATGGGAAATGGAGGAGTAAGAAATGATACCACATTTATAAGTAATCATAAAACAAATACTTTTATGAATATATTGTGCAAATCAACAGGTTTTATTGGGACACTTCTATATCACACATTTGTCATGTCTACCATACTTGCTTTTTTGGTGGGAGTGGGTAATGGGGACTGAACTCGAAACCTTGCACTTGTGTGGCAGGAAGCAGAACCACTGAGCTAAATCCATGGCCCTTACCTTCCTTTCTACCCTCTCTTCCTGCTCCTCTCCCCTACCTCCCCCAGCTCCCTTCCCATTCCCTAGTAGTCAGTCTCTTTCATTTCATCTATGAAATCAGTTTTTAAAATATTCTTATTCATAGGAAAAGTATTCTGAACAATTTAAAAGCAAAGTCTCAGGATATTTTTTATTTACTTTTAAACATACACACAAACCCACACAGATATATATATATGTAAATAGACATATATAGCAAAATGCTAACATTCCAGGGTGAATGAAAGTTAATTATTCTCTCAGTTTTACTGGATGTTTTAAATTTCCATAATAAAAGGCTTGAGGACAACAAAACTCATGATTTTTATATGTTTATGTATTATATGAGCTCACTATAATATATGCCCATAACTGGGATACTGGGACTATCTACTAATTAACATAAAGAACTATTTGAAATACAGGATGACATATACTTGAATGTTATCAAATAATACTGCCATGAAAACCCCAGGCTCCAACATAGATTTTCTAAGCAGAATTTTGCTCGTAATAAAGCCTGGTTTGGGTTAGCCTATTTGACAAAGGAGTCATACTTTTTGGATCTCCTATGTATTCAGCTGATTGCTTTGCATAATACTTTGGAACCGTTTCTGTAAACTGAACACATTATATTGACAATCATAGTTACTAAGGTCTGAATGCTGAAGTTGTCTTTGCTATTCTAGAGGCCAAAAGGGAAATCCATGACAGAAAGAACACAAAAGACTAGGCAAAAGGCAATTTTTCCTCTTGTCAGTAAAATGCATAATTTACAGGCGGCATAACTAAAAGCAATGGACTTAAATAATGTCCCAAACAATTTGTTCAAGTTTCATATGAGTTGAAATGTACTTTGTCAGTACCAATAAATTCAATTAAAAAAAGACTTGAGAAATTAAGCCCATAGTAAAACTTCAAATTGTTACAATATGGTAGAGGACACTGGCAGGATCCAAGAAAAGTGGGAAGGAAGTACCAGTGATTCATTTATTTTGGTCAGAATTACACACATAGGACCAAAATAGTCATATGCACACAGATACCTTATTATCAATGCTTATGAATTTCACCTATCACTGACCTACTGAGAAGCCCTAACGAATATGTAAAGTATTTGTACAGTCAAATCTGAGACATTGACTACCCAGGATAAAATATCAGGATGTCCTGAAACAGATGCAAATAAGCAGGTGTGTGAACACAGAATGTAAACTAAGGAAAATACATAGAATAGAAATAAAAGTATTAAGAAAAGTGCAATCTTCTTAGCAACAATAATAATGATAATAAAAATAATAACTAAAGAAATGATAAAAAAGAAGGGTCTGAGAATGAAGAGTGGGAGAGCTGGGGCCAAAGTGAGGATAGCCATGACAGAAAAACAGAGCAGGGCCGGGGATTTAGCTCAGCGGTTCAGTAGCCTGCCTTGCAAGCACAAGGACCCGAGTTCAATCCCGGGTACCAAAAAAAAAGAAAAGAAAACTAGAGCAGGCCAACCACAGTGGAGAATGGTTTTCAAAAATCAAAATGAGTATCAACTGAAAGAGAAGGAAAGGGAGAGGGAGGAGAAAGGGGGAGGAAGAGGAGGAAGAGGAGGAAGAGAAGAAAGAGGAGGAGGAGGGGCGGGAAGAATCCTAAGTAATTCTGTAGAAGAGATTCATCATGAACAGAACAGTTTTCAAACTTTGGATCCAAAATTCAAAAATGCTAAATTGGCTGGATTGATCCAGCAGAACTACAGAAATGGGCCACTGATTCTGATCTTAAAAATTATAAGAAATTATCTTTCAATCACCCAGATACATAAAGAAGGCCAGGGAATCTAAAGTTTATGCTTTAGTAAAAAATTTAAAATTTTACATTTGAGATTTGGTTCTCTAATCAAATAGATACATATTCATTAGAGTGCAATATAAAATTTAACAGTAATGACAAGTTTTATCTCACATGATGAAATCAACTTTATATGCATAATGGAATGAGTGCTGACCCACGGCAGACACTTCAACATATTTTTTTCCTGTTAAGTTTATTGGTCCATTTAAAGCAAACAGTATAGTTACATTTATCATTGGGATCTTGTACCTTTACATGATATGTCTTGGTTCTTATTTTTCCCCATATCCCTGCCCTCCCTTCATCCCCTTCACCCTTCCCTATTTACAAAGACTTTGTTTCCATTTTTCCTTGTTTTACATTTTTTTTCTTCCCTTATTTCCTTCCCCTCCCCTTCCCACTTCCCCTTTAGCCATTTTCTTCCTATTATATTAAGTCAATTTTAACAACAAACCTAGGAAGAAGATACTGATATCATTCCCAGTTTATTTATGAGGAAACTGAGGCACTAAAAAGATAAGTAACCTTCCTGAAGTCACACAGCCAGCAAGTGTAAGAGGCAAGATTCAAATTACATGTGAAGGTACATCCCCTTAACAATCCTGTCCTTCAAAGAAAAATGCTGCACCAAGTCTGGACAGCTGGACAAACATTCAAAAAACTTGGGCTCTCCAGTGATGTGACCTGGGGTTCAAATATCAGCTTTAAACTTTAGATAAACTAAATTTAGCAGAGTTTATTGAGGAAAGCATGATTTGTGTATTGGGCAGCTCTTAAACCAGGAGAGATTAAGAGATCTTCATCAAACAAGGTGTGCAACTGTATTTCTAGACGAAAAAAAAAAAGGAAGTGACATCCAGAAACAGTTTGATTAGTTATAGTTTAGCATTTGTGAACAGGGACATGATCTGCTTCCTTGGGCTACTGTGATGGGCTGAAACTTCACTATCTGTCACAAGAATATACTCAAATTAGTTCATAGTTGGTTTACACACTAAATTAAATTATAATTTGCGGCATACAAAGTTAGATTTAGGCCAAATGTAAATTAACATAACATTAGCTAGGTAATCTTTGGAGCATCACTTAGACTCTATATGATTCAATTTCCTTTCATAAAATTGGGGATTGGAGTGGTGGCTACCAGAGATCCAACTCAGACCTTGCACTTTCAAGGCAGATGTGGTACCAGCCCATATTGAGGATTCTAATAACTCACTTACAAGGCAAATTCTGAGGCTTAGAGAAGTGAATATAAGTAAAAAGCCCAAGCCCAACATCTGATTTAAAGGGCACTCAGTCAATAGAAAGTAGGACTATAATTATACACAATACACAAGAAATATTATACTTAGAAAAATATCAATTTATATTTTTAAATGGCATTTATAGCAAAAGCACAGATTGTCAATGAAATACAGTTTTAAAACATTTTTGCTCTAATTACAACCTAGGTTATAAGTTGCTTTCCACAGAGTATACTGTACCTCTTTGATGATTTTCACCCCTTTTGGATCCTTGATATTAACAGCTATACTCTAAAAATGAAAATATATATATTAAAATATTATCATAAAGGCATTCCTTGATATTCAAACAAGAAAGCCATTCATATCATAGATTATCCTCTTAAAGAAAATTTATTCTCCCTATAGAGAAATACCTAAATCTTCTTTATTTGTAATTAGGATAAGATATATAATTAGGATAATATTACAGTAAACGTTTTACAACAGTAAAACCGGAGTTAGGCATTTAACATCTTTTAGAAGAACAACAAATGTGAAAAAATCAACTGATTTCCCCTTTATAAAATTTCCATTAAAAATTCTCATGAAATGTTTTAAATTACTTAGTAGAAAAGAAAGATTAGAAAAAAAAAACCTTATTGTTTCTAAGTTATCTGGGGGATTAAATCATCACATTTGAAATATTAATTATATCTGCAAAAAAGTTATGATGATGTCAAACATTTTGGTATTAAAAGAGAATTTCAAAAATAAATAAAAAAGATGATATCCTTACTTTCTTATTTCGGTTAACACTGAGAAAATATGTACTTTCCGTGCCCACAAAAGGTGGCCCCCAAGTTCGTGTGTCATCACCAACTCCTGAAAATAACAATGTGAGTCATTAATCTTTAGCTTTGAAACACCATGGATCATTTCAAATCCTGATGCACAGGTGCTTGAACAAGATCAGCTCAGCCCAGTGAAATCCTCAACTCTACTCAAGGGGGCCTATAAGAGCTCCTTAGAACAGCCAAACTTTTTACCTTTTTGTATTAACCATTAGATCCTTCCATATCCTCTTTTGCTAAATTGCACTATTGAAAGTTCAGTCCAGACAGAAATATCCTACTGGCAGTCTTTAGATTTTTTTTTTTTTTGGCAGTCTTTAGATTTAATAAACAGCAAATGTTAGAAGGGAAAAATTACTCTTATTTTTTGACAAGCAAGTCAGTTAACTCTTTCATGGTTCCCTGGCATTCAATGTGCAAAGAAAATGTGGAGTCTGCAAAAGAGCCTTGGTTAATGTAATTTAACTCAGAAGATGCTAGTCTTTATCATAAAGTATCATCTGGAACTAGGTCTATAGCAAGGATTAATGAATCTAGAAAATATTTCTATGACAGAAAAGGCAAAAGAAGTTACTGAATAGAAAAATGTCAATAATTTTCTATTTTAGAATAAAATTTTAGTCATCTAGATTTTGTTTCAAAGTAATAGTGTAAAACCATCAAAAATATTTTATTTTGGATATCTACTCCAAGTAATTATGAGATGTACTCATTTTGATTCAAAGACAATACTAAAAAACTATAGGAAAAGTTTTTTCACTAAAAGCAACTGGCAAAGAATGTAGCAGGAACTCTGAAAATGATTCAATAATTAAATAGTACAAAGTAGTGTCACCTATGAGTTTCATAAGTTCCAAGTAAATATTGTTATGAGAATCTAATCACTATTAGTCTATACAGGCAATTACAAATAAAGTAATTATCACTACCTCCCTTTTAAAAAAGAGAATTTGTGACCATGGGTTAAAGTTTTAAGCTCTCATCATTTAAATCTTATAATCAATCTGTGAGATATTAGACTTTAGTCACGTAAATTGATCAGGAAAAAATAGAGCTAATTCTCTGCATGTAGTGTGTGTGTGTGTGTGTGTGTGTGTGTGTGTGTTTGCATGTGTGTGTGTTACTGGGGATTAAACCCATGACCTTCACTTTGAGTTCCATTACCAGACTTTTTTATTCTTTACTTTGAGACATGGTCTTGCTAAATTGTCGAGGCTGGGCTCAAGGTTTTGATCCTCCTGCCTCCTCAGAGTGCTGGAAGTTCAAGCATGTCCCACTATGCTGACCAACACAGACAAATTTGAGGTGGGGGGCTAAAGAATAAACTTCTTAATAAGAGAGGGGAGAGAGAGAGAGAGAAAGAGAGAGAGAGAGAGACTGAGCTTGGTGGCATACACCTATAATCCCAGCACTAATGAGGTTGAAGCAGGAGGACTGCTGCAAGTTTGAGGCCAGTCTGGGCTAATAGCTACATAGTGAGTTCAAGCCCAATCTGGACTGTATAATAAGACTTTCTCTCAAAAAGCAAAAAAAAAAAGAACTAAAAAAAGAGATAAACAGAGTACGCAGGACAGAGGAAGGAGAAAATAAGCATTAGATCTAACTATAGATGAACTAATACTGACAGCACTAAGTGCTAAACACCAGCTAGGCTTAGTGATGCATGCTCAAACTCCCATCATTCTGGGGAAACCAGAAGTTCAAGCCCAGCCAGGGCAATTTAGGGGAGACTCTGTCTCAAAATAAAATTTAAAAAGAGGGGTGGGAATGTAGCTGAGTGCTAAGGCCCATAGTAATGCCAAAGAAATATTTTTAATTTTTTAAAGCTAAGTACTAAAGAGAATGGCATACTTAAAATATCATGGGGAGAAAGGAGCTAGAAGGGTCTGCAAAGGACTGCCCACAAGTAATCTAGACAGTGAATCACTGTATGGGAAATGCATGCATGAGTCTGGACCTTCAGTATCAGACAGACCCTCTCAGAGTCACCTGAGAATCTGGCCTCTTCCATGCTTTTGAAACTCCCAATGCATGAAATTTTTTAAGGGACAGGAAAAAAAAGCAATGCTAGAATAAAGCTAAAACTGTATAGCTTATTTTAAATGATTGCATTCATCTCTCAGGTGGTATTTCAGAAATCTAAATTGGAGGCTTACAAGTCTTTCCTGCCTCTGCTGTCCTTGGGATTTGGCAATGTTTTAGAGGAACAGAAAGATCAATGCAGATGTTAAGAAAACTAAGATCTGAAAAGCTAAATGTTAAGGTTGAAATGTTAAAGTTAAAACTGGAAGCTTAAGAAACATGTTTTATGTGACCCACAGTTTTTAATGTTTTTAACTCTACCAAGATGACAGAGGCTAGAGATGTCATGTGAAAATTCAGACTGCCCTTTTCCTATGATTTTTCAACACATTCACTGATTTTTTGTAATCACTTATGAGCACTGGTTATGTTAAGATACTGCTCATAGAAATGTACAAAAAACCACCATTTCTACCTCGTATCACCACCCAGTGGGGACAGTCCTGAGACTTCAGGGGCATCATTTGCTACCCTTCCTAGCTCACTTCTCTCATTTAGGTTCTCTGTCTAGCCCTGCAGGCATTACAGATGTTCCCCCACAAATTGACTGACTCCAAGAAAAGAAGAAAAAAAGCATACTAAAGTTGGATATGTTCTTTGATTACACAAAAGAGAACAATCTAAGTACTAAGAACACTACAAACAAATTTTATTTGACTGAGGAAATGGAGAAGTGGACACAAAAAAAGACTCAGCTGACATTTGGGAAGATTATCAAGATTTAATAAGAGTGCTACTAAAACACTTTCTTCTTGTGTTGAATAAGTATCGTGAAAACCCAAAACAATTAAATATGTCATACGAACATTAACATGTGTTGGACACGAGGGTTAAGATAAAAAGTCAGATGAATCAGCCAAAAATGGAGCAGTAAACACTTGCTTTGAACAAAGCCTGATACTAACTGCATGATGATAGGATATAACAAAGCTCTAGACAGAACAAGGTCTTCCCACAGTGGGACCTAAAAAGTACAAAAGGAAAATAGGACTAAAAAAATGAGGACTAAAGGCTTATAAAATTAACCTAAGTACAAATATTAGTCTGGTGACCAATTCAAACAGTAAGAGAAATTAGATTAGATGTTCTCTCTATGAAGAGAAGATGCAAGAAAACCAGCACTTGAAATCACAAGTTCTGTGGTGTTGAAATTAGATGGCAATGTAGAAATCAGAAGCTTTATGGAAACTGGGGAGAAAAAGAAAAAAAAAAGATCAACTAGAAAGTAAACATTTTTCAACATGTTCCCAGCAGAGACCAAAAGCAATGAACATCATTAACTACAGACACTAAGCATTATCTCTGGAAATCTGGACTCCCCAGGTACTTTCACCACCTGAGACCAATAAGAACAGGCTCAGATGAATATAATATGATAAAATGTAATAACTGGACAATTTTCTGATAATTGCTTTTGCTTCTTAGGAAGATCTATTTTGGAGGATATTAAATCTTTATAGGCTTTATCACTTAACATAAATTAATAAGCTGATGTTATAAATTAGCCTCTTGTGAGTCTTACAGATAAATACAGACTATTCAGTGCTAGACTATTCTGAGAATTCTGTTTCAGACTCATAAGGCTATGATTTTGAAACATAAATAATAATAATTACTATGACTATTATCCTTGAAACATTTACAATAAACTATTTATAGGTTAATGCACAGGACATAGTAAAGAATAGAGACAATACCTCTTAAGGGCCTGTTGAAGAGAAAGGGCATAAAACAATGAAACTTTTCTAAGATACCTTACCAATAATACCATGAACTAACCACCAAAATTCTAGGAATGCAACAAATAAAAGTGAGAATTGTGTACATAGAACATACTTATTTGTTGGACAGAGGAGGCAGTAAGAACCAGAAAGATGTTGAATGAAAAACAGAAAAACAAGGAATCAATCCAAAATTAGATATTTTCAGCCGTGCGTGGTGGTGCACGCCTGTAATCCCAGCACTTGGGAGGCTGAGGCAGGAGGATTGCTGTGAGTTCAAGACCATCCTGGGCTACGTAGTGAGTTACAGTTCAGTCTCAACTACATAGTGAGACCCTGTCTCAAAAATACATAAATAAACAAACAAACAAACAAATAAATAAAGTTAGATATTTTCCCCATCAAAACCATTAAAATTGTAAAATAGGGGACCTATGGATATAGCACAAGTGTTTATTTGCCTGGCCTGTAGGAAGCCCTGGGTTCAATCCTCAGCAATGCAAATAAAGAAAAGAATTATAAAAGAGAAAATGTTCCCTTTATTAGAAATAGAAGAGAGTAAGCTAAGTTGTGGTATTTGGTTTCCTCTGTGAAGGACTGCTATTCTTTTCCCTTCTCTCCTTTTGTATCCTGTTTCTCCTTGCTTCCCATAGTCCTAAGGATGTGGTCACCATCATTAATCAGTCTCAACAGTGGGGACTGTATGGACTAAGGAGGGTCAGGGTCAGAGCTGAGCACCTTATTAGCTGTGTGGACTTGAACAAGTTGCTTTACTTTCTGTGCCTACATTTTCCCATTTATACTAGGATAATAACATCAGTCTGTAGGATTGCTGTAAATATTAAACTAAAATTGACAAGGGGCTTAGAACTTTGCAGAGCACTATAAGTGTCATTGTCATCATTGTTATACGTTTTACAGAAGCTTTCAAATGTAAGAGAAAGTTTGAGCCCTAGTCCCATCCTTGGCACTTATAAAAAGAGCATTAATATAGGTTCAAAGGAAAAAAAAGAATAGAGAAAAGAAAATTATCATTTCATTTTAATTATTTCTTCATCCAATTTATAGGTACACTAAAATTTATATTTTAAAAATTACTAAAATACTGATTAGCTTGACTCTATGTTTTAGAGGAAGTCATAGGTTTTTACCTGGTCTTTCTACTTTAATAACTTCTGCTCCAAGATCTCCCAAATTCATAGTAGCAAAAGGTCCCGCCAGTACTCTATAATGTTAACAATAATAAATGACCATATTGAACATTTTCGCTTTTTTTTTTGAGACAGGGTCTCACTATGTAGCTGAGACTGACCTAGAACTCCCTATGTAGCCCAGGCTGGTCTCAAATTCACAACGATCCTCCTGCCTCAGCCTCCCAAGTGCTGGGATTACAGGCATGCGCCACCACCACACCTGCCTTATTTTCTTAATACTTCATTAATATAGATAAGATCATCTGATACTGGTAAAAATTAAAAATGTTTAAAATGTAATTTGGTCACATATATCAAGAACTTTAAAAAAGTATATCAGGGCCAGGGTTTTAGCTCAGTGGTTCCGGCTTAAGTGCAAGGACACAAGTTTGATCCCCAGTACAAAAAATTAAATAAACAAATAAATAAATATGTCTTTGATCCAGTCATTACATTACTAGAATTCTATCCTGAGAAAGAAACTGAAACTAAGGTAAAGATTCATATGCAAGGAAACTTAATTTATAAAAGTGAAATTTGGGGAGATAATTACATAATTATGGCATCTATATAATACAATTTCATCATATAATTTTATCTAATTTTGAACAACACAAGAAAATATGCAAAATATAATAGTATGTTTTAAATGGGGGTAAAATTAATTTCAATATAGTTTCAATTTCTCTTCTTTAAAATTATACAGAAATAAGTAGATTGACAAAAATGCGTAAATATTACAGTAATACTATCTCAGAATAATGAGATTCTGGGACTTTTTCTCCCTTTTTGTTGTTGTTCTTTCCTTCTCCAAAATTTTAATATGTGCATGTAAGTAACCCTTATGAAACAAAAAATAAGTATAATTCCCAATTACAAAAATGTAGATAAATCAAAACAAACCTTGTTAGATCCAGAATTTTTACACCTGCCAATGGCTTAACATTGTCGGTATCTGGCAAAACAGAAAACATTTGAAAAGTACTGATTAGTAATTTTTAAAGTAAAGAAGGCAGAATTTTTCATATTCTGCTCTAAGTAATCTCTTTCCTTATCAAAAATTAACAGGGCCAGGGATTTAGCTCAGTGGTTCCACCGCCTGCCTGTTAAGCACGAGGACCCAAGTTCAATCCCTGGTATCCAAAAAAAAAAAAATTAACATTTTTCCTCATAATGATTCTACTTTATATGCATCATAGAAACTTTGCCCTAATCTCATTGAAAGTCAATCTGTACAAATTAAAGCTTCTAAAAACAGATTAGTCCCAATGAGTGGAGTGCACAAATACACTAGAGATACTTTATGTTATAAAAAATGAAAAGTGAACTAAACAATGACATTTTATTTTTAAATTAATTTCATGTATACACTTTTAACATATACAATGATCACACTGATCATAAGGAATTTGTACCTGTACATAACTTCATCCTTTTTTCTCCATTCTCTTCCCTTCCCTTCAAGTCTTCTTTCCCTCATTTCCAAAAATTTCCATTTTTTCTTTCTATTCTTTTTGTTTCTTTTCCCTTCCTTCCCTTTTCCATCCTCCCTCCCTCTTCCCTTTCCAATTTGAAAATTTTGTTCCTTCTTCCCAATATCTGTCATCCATTTTGGCCTTTATTTATCCTTTCAGTTTCTCACAGAAGACAAACACTGTCATAGTTAAACCTGTGTCTGATTTATTTTGGTTAAAAGTGTGGTCTCAAGGTGCATCAATTTACCTAGAAATGTCTGAAGTTCATCCTTCTTTATGGCAGAATAGTACTCTGTTGTACATATAAAACATATATTCTTTATCCATTCATTGAATGATGGACATTTGGGCTGCTTCCAAGATTTAGCTATTACAAATTGTGCTACTATAAACATGGGTGTGCATATATCACTGTGGTATGATGCTTTTAACTCTTTGGGGAAGATACAAAGAAGGGGAATAACTGGGTCAATTGGAACCTGTAGTTGCAGTTTTTTTAGGAATCTCCACACTGATTTCCACAGTGGTTGCACCAGCCTACAATCCCACCAACAGTGGAGAAGGGCTCCTTTTCCCCCACAGCCTCATCAGCATTTGTTATTGATTTCTTGATGACAGCCATTCTTTCATGAGTGAGACAGATTTCAGCATTTTAATTGGCATTTCTCAAATGATCAGTGATATTGAACATTTTTTCATATATTTATTTGCTGTTTGTACTTCTATATCTGAGAAGCTTTTATTCAATTCAGATGTCAATTTTTGGATTGGGTCTTTAAATTAGGAGGGGTCAGAGTTTTTTTAGTTCCTTATATAGTCTAGATATTAGCCCTTTGTCTGAGGAAAAGTGGTAAAAATTCTTTCCCATTCTGTGGGTTGCCTCTTCATTCTGTTGGTGGTATCTTCTGCTGTGCAAAAGCTTTCTAGTATGATGAGGTCCTAGTTGTTTATTTGTAATATTTCCTATAGGATCCGAGTTTTGTTCATGATGTCCTGACCTATACCTATGTCTTCAAGAGTTTTATCTACTTGCTGCATTTACTTCTTTGTCTGAGAAATGTCTGTTCATTTCAGATGCCCATTTTTGAATCAGGTTTTTATATTTGGAGGAAGCTGGTTTTTTTGAGTTCTTTATATATTCTAAATAATAGGCCTTTGTCTGAGGAGCAGCTGGTAAAAATTCTTCCCACACTGTAGGATGTCTCTCAGTTCTGCTGATGGTTTCTTTTGCAGTGCAGAAGCTTTTTAATAAGATGCAATGACAGTTGAAGAGGTTCCATTTGACCCAGCCATCCTCTGCTGGGTATCTTTCCAAAAGAATTAAAAGAATCATACCACAGTGATATAGGCAACACCCATGTTTATAGCAGCACAGTTTGTAATAGCTAAAACTTGGAAACAGCCCACTTGCCCATCAGTTGGAGACTGGATAAAGAAGATGTGGTTTTTCTACAAAATGGAATACTACTCAGCCATAAAGAATGAGAAATTAGAGTCATTCATAGGAAATGGATACATATTGAGGATATACTCCTAAGTGAAATAAATAAGTCACACATGTGTAAATACAGAATAGTTTCTCTGGTGTGAAAAACTATATAGTACATAAGATCCTAATGAGATAACTGACAATGTGAAATAGGAAGAAAAGGGCTAAAGGTGTAGGGAAAGTGGGAAGGGTAGGGGAAAGGGAATAAGGGAAAGAAAAAAATAGGAGAAAATGGAAATAAAATGTTCATAAATGAGAAGGGGAGGAGGGGGTGAAGGGAGGGCAGGGACAAGGGGAAAAAATGAGAAATAAGACCTGTCGTGTAAAGGTACAAGATCCCAATGATGAATGTAACTGTACTGTATACCTAAAATGTACCAATAAACTCAATGAGGAAAAAAAAAGAGTTCTATACTTTTGTTTTATTTTGTTTTGTTTTTTTTTGATACTGGGGATCAAACTAGGACTACACAGGCACAGCACCACTGAGCTAAATCCCTGACTCTAAGAGTTCTACCTATTCTATCTTCCAGCAGATTTAGTGTCTGCTTTAATATTTGGATCTCTTATCCATTTTGCTTTTAGTTTAGTACATGGTGATAGATGATATGGGTCTGGGTTTAATTTTCAGCATATGGAAAGCCAGTTTTCTCAGCACCATTTATTAAAGAGGCTATTTTTCCTCCAGTGATTATGTTTAGCTCCTTTGTCAAAGATAAAGTGGCTAAATGTTTTTGGAGTTTTTTCTACAACTCCACTGTTCCACTGATCCTCAGGTCTGTTTTTTGTTGCTGTTGCTGTTGTTTTGCCAGTATCATGGGCTTTTTTTAAAATATCAGTAGCTCTGTAGTATAATTTCTTGTCAGGGAGTGTGATGCCCCCTGCCTTGCCTTTGTTTCCCCAAATTGCTTTTGCCCTTCTAGGTCTCTTCTGGTTCCTGGTGAATATTAGGACATTTTTCTCTAGTTCCATGATGTATGCTACTGGTATTTTGATCAGTATTGCATTAAATCTGTTTCACAATTTTGGAAGTATGGCTTCACCATATTGGTTCTTCTACCCAAGAACAAGGGATATCATTCCACTTTCTGATATCTTCTTCAATCTCCTTTTGCAGAGTACTATAGTTTTCAATGTAAAGGTCTTTTACTTCCTTCATTAGATTAGTTCCTAAGTATTTCATTTTTCTTGATGTTACTGTGAAAGGTGTTGTTTCCCTGAGTTCTCTCGCAGTGAGTTTGTTATTTGGGTTTCAGGAATGCTATTAATCTTTAATGTTGACTTCACGTCCAGCTATGCTACTGAATTTGGTTACTAAATGTAGGAGTCTTCTGGGGAAGTTTTGAGGGTCTTCTATCATATCCCCACAAATAATAATAATTTAATTTCTTCCTTTCCTATCCTTATTTCTTTTTCTTGTCTAATCGCTCTGATTAATGTTTCTAGGACTATATTGAATAACAGTGGTGACAGTGGATATTCTTGTCTTGTACCTGGTTATAGAGTGAAAGCTTTTAGTTTTTGACCAGTTAATATGATGTTGACTATTGGTTTACCATAGATGGCTTTATCATATTCAGATATTCCAATTTTCTGAATGATTTTTATCATGAATGGGTGCTGGACTTTGTTAAATGTTTTTCCTGCCCTTTTTAAAATGATCATGTGGTTTTTGTCTCTGGCTCTGTTAATGTGGTATATTTATTGATTTGTGTATGTTGAAACATTCCTACATCCCTGGGATGAATCCTACTTGGTCATGCTGTATAATCTTCTTCTTCATGATTTGGTACATTCTGTTTGCCAGTATCTTATTGTAGATTTTTTTCTGTGTTCACTAGGGAGATTAGCCTGTAGTGCTCTTTTTTTTTGGTTGGATTGTTCTCTGGTTTTGATATCAAAATAATGCTTGCTTCCAGGAATGAATTTGGAAGTAATGCTTCCTTTACAAGTTCCATGTTTAACAGTGATATATGTGCACCCACAGTTTATAATAGCTAAAACTTGGAAACAGCCCAATTGCCCATCAACTGATGAATGGATAAAGAAAATGTTTTTTTTTAAATATAAAATGGAGTAGTACTCAGCCATAATGTGAAACTAGAGACATTTATAGCTAAATGGATGCACATTGAGGCCATACTTTTTTTTTTTTTTTAAGATTTGCCTTCTATTTTCTTTTTTGAGTTTATTGGTAATTTTTAGGCATACAGCACAGTTACATCCATCATTGGGATCTTGTAATTTTACAAGACAGGTCTTGGTTCTCATTTTTTCCCCATACCCGTGTCCTCCCTTCAACCCCTCCAACCTTCCCTATTTACAAAAACTTTGTTTCCATTATTTTGTTTTCTCGTATTTTTTCTTTTCCCTTATTTCCTTTCCCCTAACCTTCCCACTTCCCCTACACCTTTAGCCCTTTTCTTCCTGTTTCACATTGTCAATTATACCATTTGTATCTTTTTAAACTTTTAGTTTTTCACACCAGAGAAACTATTTGGTATTTACATGTGTGTCTTATTTCACTTAAGAGGAGGCCATACTCTTAAGTGAAATAAACAGAATACACATGTAAATATCAAATAATTTCTCTGGTGTGAGAAATTTAAAGTATAAGTGAGGACCACAATGTAGATTAATAATATGTAATAGGGAAAAGAGGCCCAAAGGGAAAGGGGAAGAGTAGTAGGAAGGGTTGGAGAAAGGAAGGATAAGAATAAATAGAAAAATAAAAAACGGAAATAAAGCCCCTGATAAATGGGCAGAGGAATGGGACTTGTCTGTTTTATTTAACCTTTCAAAGCACCAAATCTTCAATTCATTGATTCTTTGTATTATAGGAATGACTTACAACATGTTTTTTTTTCAAGACAGAGGAAATAATGACTCTTAAAAGTATGTTAAACAGTTTATAATCATATGTATGTCTCCTCTCTTTGACCATCAACTACAAAAACAAGTAAATGGATAATTATAATAGTAACTTTCTGAACACATATAATGTCAACATTAAATCACAAAATCAAATTTTAGCCAAATTTCTCACATAGTTCATGATGGCTGAGCTCAATCTGAACTTATTTTAAAGCCCTTATGGGGGAAAATAATGAACATTCTGTATGTTTTTAACAGTTCTTATTTCTTAGAATTGGTTTAAGTCTACAATATAATTGAGTGGACGGTATAGAGCTTTGTCATAAGTTCCCTGACCCCACATATATAAAGCTTCATCCTGTACCAGAATGAAACATTTGAAATAATCAATTAATATGCATTAATATAGCCTTATCACTCAAAGTCTATAGTTTATATTTGGTTTCATTCTTGAATGTTGCACATTTTATTGACTTCTGACAAATATATAAAGATATGGAGACCCCACTGTATTTCCTACAAAATAATTTCACTCCCTAAAATCCTCTTTTCTCTCATCCATTCATCTCTCCCTCCCCACTAACCACTGGCATTGCTTAATATAAGGCTATCTCCACAGCTTTGCAGTTACCATAATGCAGTACAGTTGGACTCATACAGTATGTAACCTTTTCAGATTGGCCTTTTTCTCTTAGTAATATGCACTGAAATTCTTGTTATGGCTCATTTCCTTTTGGTGCTAAATAATACTCCATTGTCTGTATGTATCACAGTTTATCCATTCACCTACTAAAGAACATCTTGGTCGCTTCCAAGTTTAGAC